GCTCCGTTATCACTGAAATAACTATCAGCTTACTTACAAAAAAATGTCTCCACCTAGCTCCTAACTACAACCCCAGTCCCAAAAAAGTTGACAAGGGCGGAGCATACAACTATGTACACCAAAAAATGACCCATCCCCACTGTACTCGAAACTTCATGATGGGTTAGGATTTCTGCAATTCCTCCTTGTGTGTCCAGGCTGGTGGCATCTTCCACAGTGGTATATCCGTTTGTTCTGGAACTGTGATTCATCCCTGTTTACTTTTGGCCTTCCTGGTGGTCGGGATGTCATGGGAGGTAGCAAGAAAACTTGCTCACTGACATTTTCTATTCTATAGTAGTCATTTGGGTGAGGCATGTCTGTTGTTACCACAGGAATCATACTGCGAGCATAGATCTTTTCTTGTGATGACTTTTTATAGCAATTATCAATATAATCATAAACATTGCCGTGCACAATCTTGATGGCAGCACAAGCATGGGAACAAGGGATCCCCGTCATTTGCCAAGATCTGCAACTGCATTGGTGTAGTCCAAGATCAACCCGATGGTCTCCACGTGATGTTGTCACCTTCACTCTTCCCCCACCATAATTTTCAGCATACATATGGTCAGACCCAGCCACCATATCCAGCACCTTACTCTCTATATTTGGACCAACGCAATTCTTCCATTTGGTCATACCCACATAGGAGGCATGCAGCTTTCTTGCAACTTTATCTCGGTGCTCATAGATCAATTGGGGTACAGTATGCTTTCTCTCATTCACCATCCATGCATTGAATGATTCTGCTATATTGGTTGTAATATTGTCCCATCTTTTATATGGGAACCTACTTTTAGCCCACCTATCTACATCCCCATGATGAATAAGCCAATCAAATAGCCTTGGAGAAAAGGATCTCATGTCATCCATTGCTGCCTCAAATTTCTCATCCGTCCTTGCGTATGCAATTTTATCCAATAAATATAGTGCATCCTCCTTTGATCGGCCATTTGTCCTTGTTTGCCCCTTATTCATTTTCATAACTTCTGAACTAAAATTCTCCTTGATGTGTCTATAACAAAAGGCATGCCTTTGACCCCCAAAGATTGATGCCACTCCTCCGATGATAGCATTGTGTCGATCTGATACAATCGTTACTTCCACAGAACCCAGGATTTTTTTTATCATATAGAAAAACCACGTCCAGTCATCTAGTGTTTCTCCCTTCACAATTGCAATTGCAAATGGCAGCAGCTCGTTATCTGCATCATAAGCTGAAGCTGACAACATTGTCCCCTTGTATGGTCCGCTTAAGTGAGTTCCATCAACATACATAATATGCCTCGCGCCACCCAGGAAACCCTCAATGCATGCCCCGTAAGCAATGAAAACACGCTCAAACCGGTTCCCAATAGCAGTCCATTCAGCCACTGATTTTTCATCTGTTTCCTTTATCCTTTCGCATAGCCATGGTATGAGCATGTATGATTGTTCGGGCCTGCCATATATGTCTTCCAGTGACTTCTCTCTTGCTCTATAAGCCTGTTTATATGTTAGATCAATCCCATACTCTCGTTTCAACCTCTTCCTTATCTCAGAAGTGCGCTTGTCTGCATGATCCCTCATCTCATCAATTATTATTGATGAGTTCAAACTAGCTCTTCCACTATGCATCACGTCCAAGCTATCTTGGGCAGAATGAACATGCCGGTTTATAAATGTCGTCACTCGTAGCACATCACAACTCTTCCCCACATGATTTGCACATAGCTTCCATGGACAACCCTCAACTTTACACCTTATCGACATGAATTCCTTGCTATTCCTCATATACTTGGCCACAAACTTGTTTGCAAGTGCAAACTTGTATACAGACACCCGAAATACATCTGCACTAGGAAAACGTTGGCCCACTCCTGTTAAAAGTCCCCTCCATTCCGCATGAACCATCTCACTACCATCCGTATCTTCAGCTCCGATAGATTTATCCACATTAGGGGGCCCACTTATTTCATCATTGTCACATTCACGAGCATTTTCTTCACTGAGCCAGCCATAATCACAACACAAACTAATGGGAGACGCATCCAGTTCAGTTTGCTGTGACATGCCCATGAATCTCTCTGTTCTGCATTCATAATGACAAGACTCGTTAACACAAATGACAAGAAGAAATTCATAAATGACAACAAATAGTTAGGACAAACTCCACTTACATTTCTACATTGTCCCTTGGTTGGGGACCCACTTGTCTTTTTTCGGCGACATACACATGACCGCTGTTCCCATTGTATTGAAAGAGGTTATACATTTCAGCATTGTCATGAAGGTCAATCAATGTCTTCTCATCAAAGGCCACTGTGTACTTAATGTCATAATTTCTTCCATCGCCACCAATCCACTCAGATATCATTAGCCTCAATTCATCAAGTGTCAGCCCATCCTTAATGCTTCTTAACCTCACGCCACCTCCATTATATCTCACTTCACCTTCACCATTTGTCACAAATTTCCCCCCCACATGAAAATAACAGAACAGCTCCTTCCCACAAGATGACCCAGCTGCGAAATTCATTTATCTTCATTACCTGCACTGATAACATAACAGAAGTCGAATGATTATATGACTTAATACCATCATCATCAACTTACACGACCAACTTAGGGTTTGACACATTCATGCTTATAATTTGCAACAAAACAATCATTTCTTTCCTGTCCACACTAATGCTTCGTTTTCTCAGAATCAATCCACTCCATTATTCGAATCTCCCTCCAACATTGTCCATTTATCTGACACTAATCACTCTAACCCACTTGTGACGCCATCAAACCCCTCTCCCTCAGTGTTTTTCCTTCCCCCTGCATTCACCCTCTGATCACCGTCCTTCCCCCCACACTTTCTATATACCCACGCCGTCTCCATGCTTCGCCACCCTCTCCACCTCAAAACCATCCCCACATCGACGACATTGCCATCCAACGGGAAGAGGAAAATCAACCGGCGCATAAAGGAGAGGGACAAAAGACACAGGCGAACAATATAGTCACTGGATACTAACCTCGCTTCCGTCGTTCAGTTGTTGCTTCGCGCGTTCATGCTCCCACGTTCGTGGTCCCTCCCAACTTTTTCCTCCAGCTCCCGCCACAACTTCCACACTTCCACCGGTCACTTTTTCGGTTTGCATATGAGGGGCTGTTTTGTAATTGTGCAACATTTGCATAATCCCAAATCAGGCAACACTTCCCTATCTGGTAATACATTTGCTTAGCTTCCCATTCTGGCATTTTATTATTTCAGCCTTCTTTATCTGTCATTTTCCCTATATTAATTCAATATTCAACCATTCTTTTCATTGTTATTTATAAAATGCGGCAGTTCATTTTAGTTTATTCAACTACACAAGACTGTACGGTGGTCCCTTGAACCACCATATGTGAACAAAGTTAACGGTAAAAAATTGACCAAAAAAAAAATGAGACAAAAATTTCTCTCTTAAAACATAAAAGTAACTTAAAAAAGTGTTTCTAAGGGGTATTCAAACAAACTGTTAACAATACAATAAACCTTTCATTTCATCTGTTTTTAAATTCGCATTACATTCTTTCAATTTAATTACTATTCGTTTGGATCCTTTTTATAAATTGGTACAATTTTTTGAATAAGTATTTTTTTTACAGGTTATACTTTAAAGATGTTTAATGTTTTGTTCAAAAAAATGTTTAAAGTTTTAATTCATTTTTCATTTTTATCTCAACTAATTATATCTCTTTCGTAATTTATTTATAATTATTTCCTCTCATTTTTTCTCACTAATAGTCTCTCACTTACACTCTTATAAATAAGAATATACTTGGAAAAAAATTTAAATATGTTTATAAGAATATATTTATGTAACAAAAAAATATATACTTGAAAAAAATTTTTTTATATTTATTATTTTTTAACTAATTTTAATTGAATTCTTAGTTTGTATAATTTAATTATATGCAATCCTTTTTGCTGGTACCTAATTATTTGCAACTTATAACAAGCAAACAGAATAGCATTTCATTACTCTCCCACCTCCCGCAACTGAGCCAAATGCTTCTTTCGTTTTACGCAATGCACCCAATACTCTCTGGGCTAGTTCCCATATTACGAAAAGGTCAACAGTTTCACAAATCTGAATTCGAGGCGTGACAGGATATTTCTGGCCCTTAAGATGTTTCATTCGGGGAACTAGCGCTGCATATGGACAGCACAAGACAGGATCCTTGCCTGATAATACAGCCCGATATCCAATCCAACCCATAAAAAACCCTATTAAGTTTGGATTGGGCAAGACAGGTTTTCATACCTAACAAGTCAATATACTATATTAATTAACTAATTGTTTATGTCCTCATAAATAATCTAATATAACTTTATATTAAAATAGCAACTTGACTTTAATTTTGTTATTACAAATTAATATACTTTGCAACTACTTTTTATAGTAGCTAAGAGGAATGGATCATGACAAAAAAAATATTGTCTGTATATTTTATTAAACTTAATTGTTTTTTTAATTTCTAACTCTCAAAATCATTCAAAAATAAATAAATATAATAAACACTGAATATTGATGTGAGAGTGCATTTGATTCATGAAATAAATATAAGAAAAATAAAATTATATATATTTTTGAGGGCAGGGCCAAATAGGTACAACAGCATACCGTGCTCGATGCCCAGTCCTGCTCAACAATTTGCCTAGCCTAAAAATATCCAATAGTTCTTTCAGACTATTTTTTTAAGACAAACTGGGTATTTTTTTACGGGTCTAGACGAGCATAGCAGGCTATCGAGTTTTATAAACACCCTTATCTCGGACTTGAACCCGGTGATTCGGTTGAAACGTATCCTTGAGTGGATCCAGCCAGTCGGTTTTCCCAATTGCCAATTTTGCTAAAATGGTTCCAACTTCCAAATTATTTTTATGTGCCCTAACGTCATTTGACTAAAGTGTGCGAAACGCATCGTTTTTGCTTGTCTCCGCTGAGTCTCACTGGGGAACATGGCACGGGAGTCTCTCCTGAATTTGGTGCGATCACCGTTCTCCCAGGAGCTTCCTCTCTGGTTTTCTTCGTTTATCCTTCTTCTTCTTCTTCATGTCCCTTTCTGGCTGCACATTTTGAATTTTCTAATATCGATTCAATTGTTCATCTTCCCGAGATTGGAGACTGCTTATGTTCAGTTCTTAATCAATTTGATGTCTCACTAATTTGCTCATACCAAAATGTTCTGAACTTTACTCCTCGTTAGCATTCAAATTTCATGTCAAGATTGAAATTCTTTTGGGTTCAGGGAAAAGGGACAATGAGCTTTAGGATGTTGTCTTTTGTAACTGTGCCTAGGCATTTTTTTTTTTTTTTTGCTTTTTGTAACTATGAGAGGAGTTTTTAATTGGCATCAACTTGATGAAAACAAGACGAACGTTTGGAACCTGAAAATGACGTGTGTAAAAAAACTCTGGTGTGGCATACTGAAAGTGAAAGATGCTTTAAAATTGGCGTGTGTGAATTACTGTTCAGCTAGCAGATCGTTTCATGTTGCATGATTTATTCTAATTTTACCGTAAGCATGATAGCCTGTGGCTGGAGATTTAGGGTTTCAGTTTCTGTCTTTCACCTGCAGATAGTGTTGATTTGATGTACATCCTATCTTCTGCTAAGAGATGGGGATTTTTCTTCATTCCCCTTCAATGGGAAATCTTGCGGGACTTCTTTTTATTATTATGATTACAAGTAAGGTGCATGACTGTGATGAATCGATGCGATGTAGTACAACTATATCAGTTCAGGGACTCCTAACTATACTTAACCTTAGTTTCTTCATACAAAAATTCTGTATGTTTGAAGCTTGTGCCATGATGCTAGCGGTAGAAGGAAAACTGGTTGAAGGGCTTTGACTCTGAAGAGCTAAAGGGAATTGAGACTAGATTTTGATATGATATGCACTAGCAGGAGCTAAGTTGCATTACATGAGCAGTTAATCTTCTGAACCATAAGCTCCTGTTTCAGCTGAATCATCTTAGTAGCAATTAGAATACGCAATCTATGTAAATTATAATATAGTACGAGGTGGAATATTATGGGATTAGGATAGATTCTTCGCATACTTCGTAGCTACTTCCTCTGTATATACGCCACGCCCCCCATGAATGAAATATAGGAAATTTTTGCCCTACTTCCGAACACATCTAAAACTCCCTGCAGTTAATCAAGTTGTTGACATGAATTTAATGGTCAATCCCTTAACATAGTTCTTTATGCATTCCAATGTGAATTATTCATGACCAATGCTGAAAGCATATGCCTAACCTTTCAGCCATCAAATCTTAGGAATCTTATCGTTCTTCTATAAAATTATATCAGGTGCTTATAACCTGGCAAACTTCTCTCTCAAGTTTATCTGTCCCCATTTCCTTCTTCCCTATTAAAAAGAATCATTGCATATGTTGGATCTAGTCGCACCCCACATGATATATATTATACTCCTTCCATTATGCATTATATGTTCTGGAAAAAACATTATCTAACTTGACATCTTGTTATTGTTCCTGTGTTTACGTGCTGCTCCTTTTCAGTTCAGTGCCTTGATGTCTTTCCCTGTTACCTCCTCTTATCAACTGAATTAAGCCCTTTGGGTTTTTTATAGGTCCCTTTTTTTTGTAAGCAACATTGTTACTGATTTTTTTTTTTTTCATTTTATTTGTATGTCTTTTCCCATGCTTCACATTATCATTGGACAAGGGCGTCTACGCCCAATTCTTGCTAATCCTACTTTCAGATATTCCTCCTTGCTTGCTACCACCCAAAGGAAGTGGGCATCTCAAGCCACCAATGCACATGAAGACAAGAAGATCAGCATCGGACCTTATGGAGAAGGACAATCTGAATATGGGGAAGATGGTCACGAGGAAACCAGAGTTGTTTATCATGGTCCTATCTCATCCACCATCAAGAAAGTAAAGCTTCTCTCTCTCTCAACTTGCTGCCTCTCAGTATCACCCGGCCCTGTGATAACTTTCATGACATACCCTGAAACAAATGTCATCCCAAAGGGTGCGCTAGCATCAACTGTTATATTCCTCAGTGCTTCTACAACTGCCGCCCTGCACTGGTTTGTTAGCCCTTGCATACATAAACTCAGGTGGCAACCTGGTTCAGATAGATTTGAGATGCAGATGATGACTTGGCTGGCAGCTTATACTCCGAGGGTTATTAGGTTTGCCGATATCCGGCCTCCTCAAACCAATAGGCCTTTTGTCACGTTTAAGGCCAATGGGAAGTTTTACTTCATTGATACAGAGCACTGTCAGGACAGGGAACTGCTGGAGAGGCTGACCTACAAAATGTAGGTCATGATGACTCGTGGGTCAGCTTCGGGACCTTGTGACTTGAAGCATAATAAATTCCCTTCAGGCCAAAAAAAAGAGGCATAATAAATTCCTAGGTGTTATACAATGGCCAGGTTTTAACAAACTAACCTGTGATCCTGATTGAATTTCTCTCTTCTAATCTCTCACGCGACTTCTGAGAGCTAAGTAGTGAATTGGATCAAATGATTTGATTGGTTTTCAGTTCTACGCCTTACATATGATGTCATCATAACATCGAATGAGTGCGGCCTGAATACTCCTCATTACCAATGAATGCGCCTCAACATTGAAGGGGTATAATAAATAAATATTGTTATAACAACACACCTAATTAAAAGGGTTTTATTCTTCATCTCAATATCAGAGAGAGAATTTAATTTCCACGGCATACAATCCATGGGTCTCCCAAAAAAACATGAAGTGGGTTCTGACTAATAATTTTCAATCAACTTGCAACATACAATTTCATAGTCGTAATTCGCCTAGAAAGTAGAAACTCTTTCTTTTCAACTGAATAACATACAATCTGGCACGAAGCCTAGGGGGCATTAAAAAGCAACTTGTCATTCAAAGTTTGAAGCATCAAAATTTCGAAATAAAGCATTTTTCTTTGTAAAGAGGAATTAACAAATCACATGCAAAAAAGAAATAACAGGTCCAAAGAGGATGATTAAACCATATATCTTAAAATCCAGAAATTAGTTGACAAACGACGTCCCAATAGGCAGTGTCTAAGTATAGTCCAATGTCGCACCGCATTTTTCAGAAACGAAACTCACAAAAATATGATTAAGCATGCAGAAGCGAAAGAGAAAATAAGCCTCGCCACCGTCGGTCAAGCACCCAGTTCTGCGAACCGAAGCTCACTGACGAAGGAAAGGACTCGACACAGTAACCGATAAACCTAAAACATAGACTCTGGAAAGAGAAGGTACTAATATCAAAACATTTATTGCGGCGACGATAATAGGCTTCAGACAAACCAGCCCGCACGATTCACTTCTTCTTCTGTGCAGCCTTGGTGACCTTAGCGCCAGTGGCTTCCTTCTTCTCCACGTTCTTGATGACTCCCACAGCCACCGTTTGACGCATGTCCCTCACAGCGAAACGACCAAGAGGAGGATACTCAGAGAAGGTCTCAACAACCATGGGCTTGGTTGGAATCATCTTAACCATACCGGCATCACCGTTCTTCAAGAACTTGGGTTCCTTCTCAAGCTCCTTGCCAGATCGCCTGTCAATCTTGGTCAGCAGCTCAGCAAATTTCACCGCAATGTGGGAGGTGTGGCAGTCGAGCACAGGGGCGTAACCACCGCCGATCTGTCCAGGATGGTTCATGATAATGACCTGAGATGTGAAGTTGGCAGCTTCCTTGGCAGGATCGTCCTTTGAGTTTGAGGCAACATAACCACGCTTCAGATCCTTCACAGCAACGTTCTTCACGTTGAATCCCACGTTGTCACCTGGAAGAGCCTCTTGGAGGGCCTCGTGGTGCATCTCCACAGACTTAACTTCAGTTGTCAGCCCGCTGGGACCGAAAGTAACCACCATACCGGGCTTCAGAACACCAGTCTCAACACGTCCCACTGGAACAGTTCCAATTCCTCCAATCTTGTACACATCCTGAAGGGGCAGCCTCAGAGGCTTGTCTGACGGCCTCTTGGGCTCCTGGATCTGGTCAAGGGCCTCGAGAAGGGTTGGTCCCTTGTACCAGTCGAGGTTGGTTGACCTCTCGATCATGTTGTCTCCCTCAAAACCAGAGATGGGAACGAAGGGGATCTTGTCTGGGTTGTAACCGACCTTCTTCAAGTAGGATGACACTTCCTTCACGATTTCATCGTACCTGGCCTTAGAGTACTTGGGGGTGGTGGCATCCATCTGTTGCAGAACAAAATACAGAAAAACCACATTAGGAAGCTGCAATCAATGCGATTATCTAGAGAGAAGTTAAATACACCAACCAACCTCAGTTAAATACCTTGTTGCAGCAGCAAATCATCTGCTTCACACCAAGGGTGAAAGCAAGGAGTGCATGCTCACGGGTCTGTCCATCCTTGGAGATACCAGCTTCAAAACCACCAGTCGTTGAATCAATGATAAGAACCGCACAGTCAGCCTGAGATGTTCCAGTAATCATGTTCTTGATGAAATCCCTGTGTCCGGGTGCATCAATGACCGTGCAGTAGTACTTGGTGGTCTCGAACTTCCAGAGAGCAATATCAATTGTGATTCCTCTTTCACGCTCGGCCTTGAGCTTGTCCAGCACCCAAGCATACTTGAAGGACCTCTTGTTCATCTCGGCAGCTTCTTTCTCGAACCTCTCAATAACACGCTTGTCAATACCTCCGAGCTTGTAGATAAGGTGGCCGGTGGTGGTTGACTTCCCAGAGTCGACATGGCCAATGACCACAATATTGATGTGACTCTTTTCCTTACCCATATCGCCTAAACTTGGAACGGGAAAGAAATTCTGAAAACAAATGTAACGAAGCCATTAAGACCACATTATGAAACCATAAAAATAAGTTGAGTTCGAAATTTTTCACCCTCAGAGGCAACACAAGCATTAAGATTAACTTAACTATCCATCGATGAACGTGTTGTCAAATTATGATACATGATAGAATTTTAGGGGGAATATTTTTGATGCGACATAGTCTGGCAGTGGCAGATCGAGCAAACTAGATCCGTTACAAAAGCAAACAACCACACGCAACAGTTAAATAAGAAATCCTGCATCGGCCTATCACATGCATACATGTAAACACGAACAAGATTAAATGCCCAATCGTTTTTAATATAATCGATCGTCGTCAACCAATAACAATTCATGAACATCCAAACAAAAGGATCGACTCTCCTCAAGATCTGTGGTGCTTACTGAAGATCCCGGCCAGACAAAAAGATATAATTCATCGACCAAAATCAGAAACAAGGAATCAAAAAAAAAAAAATTCCAACAGCGTTACAGACTTATGTAATAATATGCGTAAAAAACAAAACGAACGCGCATTCGAAAAGCATATCAGAAGATTGAATCATAATAAACAAAAAGGAAAAAAGAAAAAGACGAACAGAGCGTAGATTCATTCAATGAAACGATCTAGAATTCAATCCACAGATAGAGAAAGACATCCAAGGAGAGACGAGTCAGAGAACGAACCTAAGAGAAATGGACAAGCAAGAACCCTAGCCGCAGGCGAGCAAAAGCAGGAAACAGAGAGTGGAGAAGTGAAGGGGAATGAGATTCGAGGGATTATATAATAAGAGCACGAGCTGGGATTTTTTGCCTTGAACCCAAAATAATTGTATTGACAGTTATACCCCTCTACGCCTGTAAGGCGGCAGCCAGCGTCCAGCGACCTCAAAACAAAACCCTAAAAGCAAGCTCACTTTTTAATTCACCAAACAACCCTTCTTGAAAATTAAATTGACAGTTGTATCCTCTTCTGCCTCAGCCCTAATTCAAATCAAAATCAAAACCAAAACCAAACCCTAGCCGCCGAGCCTTTAAAATTGTAAGAAAATTAAATAAATAAAATTTAAAATAATATACATTATTTATAATTCATTAAAACAAACATTTATTAGAGCTTTTATATTATGTTATATTATATTGTGTGTGAATTATATCCTTGTTTTTTTTTTTGTTAAATCCTGTGGTGATGCGTTTACATTTACATGTGATTCCATCAATTTACCAGTAACTCAATTCCCAAGTGTCCAGACCCAAGAAAAAAGACAGAGAAATCCCCAAATGAAAAATTGCATAAAAAAATTTTATTTGAGTCACTTTATTTGGAGTCGGACGATCCCCAGATTTTTTTTTTTTTTTGCCATTGGATGGATAATCCTCTGATCTAGCCATCATCGAAGGCCTATTTGTTTAATTCTTTTCATAATTAAATAATAATTATAATTCGAAATCCGGTGTCAGCTTGTCACCGGCACGGCATTAATTTCTGTCTTCTGATCAGAGAAAACGCATTACGCAGTAACGTGCAGAGAGCGGAAGGCTCGATGATGTCTCAACGTTAAATATGATATATTTTTATTTTAAATAAAAAATTTGCCGCGCGACCATTATTTCTTTCTTGGTAAAGAAAGAAGAAGTAAATTATGTGACCATTTTAAATATTTCTAACTTTTTCATTTGGAGTCTAATAATATCATTTTAATTTGAATGGTCAGTGGATTTTGTATTAAATACCATCTTTACAACTTCGTTGATGATTAAAAAAAAATTCTTAATTTAAGATTGATTATTAAATCCTGACAAAATAAAAATACCGAATCACTCAAGATGTACAATCTCATCACCGTTTTAAGCTTGTTACTGAGAATGATGCTCTTGTCAAATATGTAGTTTAACTATCAATAAAAATATCCACAAAAACATTCCTTATAATAATATTCGAATATAATTCAATAATATAAACTGATTATATTATTATACTATAAAATCCGTGGTGCAATGTTACTATAAGGACAAAACGTCTGTTTAGTTAGTGAAATTTTGGTGGGATTTTATTGATATTTTTAGAAGTTCTTATATAAAAGCCATCCCTCTTGCGCTGCTGAAATTCAATTTACCTATATTTTTATTAAAAAAACTCATTTGAATTCGCTTGAAAGAATATCAATTTAGAACCTGTTTGGAATAATTTATAAATAATTTTTAATCATAATTTATAAAATATGAGATAAGCATATATAAAAAAAATTATGTCTCATTTTACGTAAAAATGTATTTGTCAGTGATTTTAAATGTAACAGTGTCTTACTTTCACGAGACATACTTTATTTTTTGTGAATATTTGAAACTGAACTTACAAATAGAATTACATAAAAAGAATATTAATTTATTCAGGTCAAAGGCCCACATGACCCGCTGGAGAACTCTGCGATCCTCCTTGGCAATGTCTCCTCCATTGTGAGCTCATGATGGCATCGTTACAGACGCGAATTAGCTGTCAAATATTCCAATAAAAATATTATTCTTCCATAAAGGCATTTATAATATAATTTAGAAAGAATTATAATAAGATCACACAAAAAAAAAAATACACACAGGCCACAAAGAGTAGAATATCTAAGGTC